TGGACTTGTTTACCTCCCTTCATATAGGACTTGAAGGACAATGTTATCAGGAACTGGGTATGAATATTATTAATTGTTAGGACGCACCAATGTAAGATGCTTTAATATAACAATGTACAGTTATTGGAAGTTGACACATGCCCTACCCTTCCCACCGACCAATCCCCACCACCCCCTACCTGCATCCACCTATCACCATCCAACTTACCTTCCACCGCCCCACCCCTCCTCTCTCTATTTATTTCCCAGCTCCCTTCCCCCTCCCCATTTCTGAAGAAGGGTCTCAACCCCAACCATTAACTTTCCTGCTCCAATGATGCTGCCTGGCCTGCTGTGTTCCTCCAGCTCCACACTGTGTTGACACATGTCCTAATGCTGTGTTTCCTCCAGAGAACAACATCATAAGAACAGGACACCTAAAATGATGTTACTGGGAATACGTTAGGAGTGACCTATAATTTAAAGAATTAAAGGCCAATGCCAGAGAAAACCCTGAAGCAATTGGCTGGGCAGAACATAGATTTAATCAGGTGAACGTTGACTGGAAAAGTCATTCAGCTCCGGGAATGAGGAGCTGTAAGATCGGGCCTGATTCAGTTGTACTAATGTGGCCATACATTCATGTCAAGTCTCGAGTATCAGTGATTACACATCATGAGTGGGTGAGAAGTACTAAGGGCTTGCAATTTGTTGCCCCAAGGTACAGCTGAGGCACTCATGACAGTAGATTTGCAAGAAGCACAGCTAGTAAAAGGGTTAACTCTACGTACTGGCCTGAGACTTAATTGATAGCATCGAATTGGATATTAGGAAAAATTTGTTTTGAAACTGTGTTGGCATACACACGCCAACTGTTTATGGCTGGCTTGATTAATCCATAGCTAGGAATAAGGAAACTATTAGTGACACACAGAATTCAGAGGAATGTTGTTACATTCCATCCAAACAAATTGTAAAAGTGCTTCCTGGGTCGTGATGGAATTGGTGCTATCATAGCTGTAATGCCATCAGGAACCCAACCCTGTGCTCTTTGTCAGATTTAACATATTGGGATGATTAAAGGATCTGATTAAGTTGCATACCATGACACGCTACTGTGTATAGCCCAGAAGGAGTTTAATGGGAACTAAATCAAAAGGACATATCATCCTGCCAAAGTGTAATTATCAGTCCTTATAGGGTACATGATGACCTTGAGGCAACTTGTGAGTTTAACACAACTAACAGTGAGTCCGTTAGAAGTAACTGATTCCAGCTATAAATCAAAACAGGCTGCTTATGTTTGTGAGGGAGAGTACTGTGCAACTACTAATCAAAAGAACGATGAAGGATGAGAGGTGACTTGATTGAGGTGTACAAAATGATCAGAGGTATAGATAGAGTAGACAGCCAGAGACTTTTTCCTAGGGTGGAGGCAGCTTTTACGAGGGGACATCTTGGGTGGGAAGGGATGGGATGCTACATTAAAGGGGTTTCCTGGAGCCTAGGAAAATCAGGCTGCACCCAATCATTAAAATACAGGTCAAGCCATAACAGGTGTGAAGTAAATGTTTAGGGATATGACACACAACAAAGTCCAGAAAGATCTCTGAACAGTTTTTGGGCAGACTATCCAGGTGGGTGACCCCAAAGGGTTCTGGGCATGGCCAATAGGAGAGACTCAAGTGAAACAATTGACTAAATTTGATACTTAAATGCATGCCCATAGCTTAGAATAGACAAACATAGCAATAAGCATTTTCTTGAAGCACAATAGTAAGTCTAGCCAATACTATAGTAAAGATGGGATACATTTGCATTCATGGAAATCCTAGTTAAGAATATAAGTTGTAACAATTATCTATTGTTACACAGGTAAAGAAGATAAGTGTAAACTAAAGGCTGAGTTGTCACAGAGGCCAGTAGACCCAAAGCTGAGACAGAAATAAGATGGGGAGCCCTGCATTAAGTTGAGAACTATAAACCGTGCTGAAACCTTTATATTTTGTGACAAACCATCCTGGGTAAAGCAGGCAAAGCTTTTCTTCAGTATATGCGTGAATGATTCTCTGCTTGCTGAACCTAAGATTCAAAGTGGCTATTTTTAACCCACCGTAACAGTACTGTTCTGGAGAAGGGTCACCGGTCTCAAATGTTAGCTCTGTTTTCTCTCTACAGATGTTGCCAAACCTGTTGAGTTTCTCCAGCAATTTCTATTTTGATATACACCTGTCCTAATGATTAGGATGAAGGTATAGCCTTGTTACTGTTGGCTAATGAGTCCACAGGATTCAGTCTCTTCAGACTAATATACAAACATGAGGCTAGATGACCATTAAATGAATTAAAGACAACTGTATAAACCAAATCTCAGAGTCTACACTTCCAATTTATGTTTTGAGTTTTGGAGAGAAAATAGAAAATGTGAGCTGGCCTAAGAATATTTGAAAAGTGCTGAACAAGCAATCAAATCAAAAGAAACTCATTTGTGAATTGTGAGAATTGTGCAATGAGTAATGTGTACTGGAGAAAAAGAACACTAAGTGTATCATGTTAATGCGTTCAAGTGAAACAATCACAGGGAGCACAGTCACGACAGAACTGTAATTACAGTGGGGAAAAAAGCTGACAGTGAGATAAAAATATTAGGATGATTTGAGAATGATTCAGAAATTAAAAATGTAAAAGATGGTCCTCCACTAATTTGCTTGGGTAACATAGAGGTGCTTAAAATGTTAGCAGAAATATAACCTCTCAGAAACCTACTGAAATGTCTTAAGAAAGCTACTACAGACTCATGAATTGAATTGTATCAATAGGCCCGGAGAAACGTGTTTGGCTGTACATGATGCTAATACAAGAACTATGCGACCCATAAAACAACATTCTTATATACTCAATCTAGAAGAATTAGCTCAAATGAGGGAGGTTCTTGGGGGACAATGATGTTATTGAATTGAATCATAGTATCTTAAGTCTACCTATCATAATGGTGACAAAACTAGACCACAAAGACTACCGATTATTGCAAAGTCAACACGATGTGAAAAGTGTATTTATATCTGATTCCATTATTGGAGGGTTTTCTTGAGGGTATTGGACAAGCACCGCATGTTATTAAATTGATTTATTAAAAAGATATTGAGAAGTTCCATTGTTGTGATGGAGCCATAGAAATATCAGTTTTTATAACACCAGATTGACTTAATCACTGCAAATCACTTTTGAAATGATAAATGCACCAGAAACCTTTCAACAATTAACCAACAAGGTTACTAATGGATTATACAACTATGTTGTCTATGTAGTTGATTTGGTTGATCTCTGTGAAACCTGGGAAAATGTAAACGATTAATTATGGGAAGTTTTGACATTTTTAAGAGGTCAAGAAGTAATTTAGGTACAGCGACATCAAAAATAATTTACAAAAAATTATATGACTTAAACTAAATGTGTGGATAACTTACTTGCAGAGTTAAATGATGAAATGTTTATGAAATTGAAGTTTTCTGGCAAACAGAAAGATAAACCAGAGGCCATAATCAATCTTCAGTTCAGAAGAACAGTTTCATACCAGCAGAAGGGCAGTTAATTTGCAGCATTGTGGTCTTTCAGAGCTGGAAAGTAATCTGAAAACTGTTTTAGCAGTTTACGTAGATAGGGCATTTATTAATGCTCAGTTAGGAAAAGTCCATGAAGTAGCTAGTGCCTATGTATTGTGGGGAGAGATAGTAATGGAGAAGATCATATCTGATGAAGTTATACAAAGTCTCAGAAAAGAAATGCTTACAATCTTGTCAGTTAAATAAGAAATTAAGTAAGAAAGGATTAAGATAGGAGAGATAATTCACTGTGATTGAGTATCTGTGAAAGATATTGCTGGAAAAGGTTTTTTTCTTTTTGCTGTTATGTTAAGCTCTTTCCAAATTTGTCTTATGTATATATTTAGCTTCTTTGTTTTTGAGAATACGTTCACTGACTGACCACGATAATAACCAACCTTCAAAGTAAAACCTATGACTTGTCAAGCCATGTTTCACTCTGAGATCTGACTTGTCCAGTATTAACATGAGTTGGAATCATAACAGTGCAGAAAATTGCATGAAGGAATTAGAATAGAATTAGTTCATTGTTGAATGGGATGTTGTTTGCAGGGTTGTAGCAGACTTGATGGGCCAAATGGCCTCCACCTGCACGGTATGGATTCTCTAATTAAGAATTAGAATAAGTTTCTTCATTTTATGATAAATTCATATGAATGATGGTTAGTGAAAAGTAACTTAAAACATGAATGTGCAATTGTTTGAACACTGGATAACTTCTTTCTCACTGTCACATTTTGTCAATTATTAATGCATTCATATTCAGTCAAACAATTGGATATCATATTGGCAATTCAATAACCAAGTGGTTATTTGAGCCAATTACACTTTAAACTCTAGAGAAGTGATAGTTCAGAGATGTGATGTCTTTAAAAGTTGTGAAACATTTAATAGATGTAAAACTTGTGCAGACCTAGGCCATCATAACAAAGAAAATGGTGCAATGAACTAATACAAAGTTGACGCACCGTCAATACATCACATGATTTCAACACAATGTACCAATTTCTATTTCATACTAGATTTTCATTTGGATATAAAGATTGCTTCCTATTTTACAACTATCAACAAAACATCGCTTTATGAAGGAGAACTATCAATTTTAAATGTAACGAAACATTGTCTCATCTAATTTCAATGTCAGGATAAAATAATTGATTAATTCACTTTTGAAGATTATTAAGGAAATAAACTAAAAATTCTGAAGCATAATGAATTCATTTTGTAGAACTTCATATGGATTTCTCAGAGTTTTTACACAAATCATTCATGGGATGCAGGCATCACTGGTTAGGCCAGTATTTATTGTCCATCCCTAGTTGCTCTTGAGAAGATGGTGCTGAACTCATAAATGAATGATTTAGGTGTTTCTACATTGAATTACGGTATACATAGCACAGCATGAATTTAAAAGCATACCTGAAAGGATAAGAAAATCCTATCTCAATGTTCAGGTTACTTTCTGACTTGTTCACACAGTCCACACTGACTTTCAGTGCTCCAGAGTAGCCACCACATGTTGCAAATGCAAAGATTGCAAAAATCTGTCAAGAGAAAATATATTTAAACTTGTTGACGTAATTTGGTATTTTACACTTAAATGTCTAGCACATTTCATTCTATGACAAGGTTGAATAGAGAATTTAATTTGTAAAATAATACTTTTGTAACTTGGATCATTTGGAAAATATTTGTGTGTAATCAGAACAGATTGCCTAATGTATTTATGGAAATGATTGGTCATTCATGGATTGTGGGGCTTGGGAGCCGAAGGAGAAAACACCAAACAATTCAAACTGCATACTTCCTGCTCAAAATAATGGAAATTCAGTTATCAAATCATTTTTAAAAATGTAGCTTCTTTCTAAGAATGAAACATTCACAGTTAGAATATACATAAACCAAAAGTTCAGTCTGTGAAAACGTTTTTGTTCATCCCCTATCAAAATTCAAACATGAATCATAAGGCACATACATTAAATCTCAAGGGCCAACATGTAGCACATTGAAATGAATTCAAAACTGGAAAAACAAACAAATGGAATCAAGCAAATAGTAATTCAAAACACATTTTGATTCGACTGTACACTCAAGTGATAATGTTAAAAAATTAAATGAAGGACAACATGACCAATCTCATTGGTTCTTTCACTTTCTTCCTTCCATACCTATTTAAGAAATTTGTTTTGGAAATAATTTGTCATATCATGTCCCATTGGCCAAGCAATTGATTGTAATAGTTTGCATGCGGTGTTGACCATCAAGGCAAGTTGTCTCACAAGACAGAAGGCTATCAACTGCATGCAATGCTGAGGAAAACATAAACTGAAAACTATGTCACCTGATTACTTCCTGAAATTTTGAAATATATAGACTATTTACAAAACATTATGTATGGCAGACTGAATGGATAGGATAGAATAATAATAGATTAACTACAGTATATAATTTTTTAATGTGTCTCAACTTGGGCTTATCACGTAAAGGCATCAATTGAAGCAGACCATCATTTCCCACAATCAGAATTTTTAGGTGTATATTGTAGATAGAAAAATGAACAAACGCCATTTAATCCTAAAATGAAGCGCTGGAACCCAGATGGAATGCGTATGCTGAAAAGGAAGATTGAAAAAGCAGGATAACTCCATGCTGTCAGACCATGGTTCACGTTACTGTGAGGAGTCCAATTCACTTAGAAGAACTTTAATTACAAGAATTAAGAATCAAACAATACAATGTTTCATTTATGCAATATTTTAAACTACCCTGAAAACAATGAAAAGTCTAAAATCTCACAGTAATTCCCAGAATATTTTAACTGATCCTCTGGCGATTATAAGGGGTGATATAATTTCCTTAAGTTGTTCTCACTTACATGGAAACAAGCAAATGAAAAGCATTGGAAAATTTAGCAAGTCAGAGCTTCAAATCCCAGATGAAAGAAACATTTCCCCATTAGGCACACAACCATGTTACTAATGAATTCAAATTCAGTAAGCTATTCTTGTGGGATTTAGTTGCTTTTGATACCTGTTTTGCATTACAAATAGTTTAACCTGTATTTGACAGGTGTCATAAAGTCATTGACCTTTGGCCTATCGAGTCTGTGCGAACCCATCTACACTAATTCCACTTTCCAGTACTTGGCCCATACCCTTGAATGTTATGTCATTTTAAGTGCTCATCCACACACCTTTTAAAGATTGTGAGATTTTCAACTAAACTTCAAGGAAGTGCTTTCCAGATTCCCACCATACTCTGGGTGGAAACATTTGTCCTCAAAACCCCTCTGAGTCTCCTTCCCTTCAACTTAAAATTATGTCACCTTGCATGGACCCTTCAACCATGGGGTACAGCTGCTTCCTATCCACCTTGTCCATGACACTCAATCTTATACACCTCTATCAGGTTCGCTCTCAGCCTTCTCTGCTCTAAAAAAAGTGACTGAACCCATCCAGCCTCTCTTCATAGCGAAAAAGCTCCAACCTGGGCAATATCCTGGTGAATCTCCTCAGTACCAGCAATCACATTCTTTCTAAATTGCACAAAACTGCAGAACTGCACACACTCCAGCATGGCCTAACCAAAATTTTATACAGCTTCAACATAACCTCCCTGCTCTTACTATCTATGCCATGATTGATGAAGGCAAGTGATCCATATGCTTTCTTAAACCACCTGTTAACCTGTTCTACTGCCTTCCGGGATCTCGGGACAAATATCCCTAGATCCCTCTCTTCCTCTGAGCTTCCTCGTGTCCTATCATTCTTTGAATACTCCCTTGTCTTGTTACTTCTTCCAAAGTGCATCAGCTCTTGACATTCCATCTGCCACTGATCTGACCGACCCGTACATATCATCCTGTGGCTTAAAACCTTCCTCCTCCCTCTCAACCATCCAGCCAATCTGTGTGTCAACCACAAACTTACTCATCACCACCCCTACATTCTCATCTATATGATTTATATGTACACAAACAATAAGGACTCCAACACTGACCCTTGTGGTATGTCACTGAACACTGGTCTCTAGTCAGACAAACAGCCTTCTACCACCACCTGTCTCTTACCACTAAGCTAATTCTGTTAATATGTTACAGTTATCTGTAGGTTTCACAGATATTAAGCAGTTCAAAGATATTTATGGGATTTGTCTGGGATACCCGCTAGTCCAGAAAGAAATATAGGAATAGTGCCAGAAGACTGGAGACTAGCAAATGTTGTCCCCTTGTTCAACAAGGGGAGTAGAGACAACCCTGGTAATTATAGACCAGTAAGCCTTACTTCGGTTGTGGGTAAAGTGTTGGAAAGGATTATAAGAGATAGGATTTATAATCATCTAGAAAGGAATAATTTGATTAGGGATAGTCAACACGGTTTTGTGAAGGGTAGGTCATGCCTCACAAACCTTATTGAGTTCTTCGAGAAGGTGACCAAACAGGTGGATGAGGGTAAAGCGGTTGATGTGGTGTATTTGGATTTCAGTAAAGCGTTTGATAAGGTTCCCCAAGGTAGGCTATTGCAGAAAATGCGGAGGCATGGGATTGAGGGTGATTTAGCGGTTTGGATCAGAAATTGGCTAGCTGTAAGAAGACAGAGGGTGGTGGTTGATGGGAAATGTTCATCCTGGAGTTCAGTTACTAGTGGTGTACCTCAAGGATCTGTTTTGGGGCCACTGCTGTTTGTCATTTTTATAAATGACCTGGATGAGGGCGTAGAAGGATGTGTTAGTAAATTTGCAGATGACACCAAAGTCGGTGGAGTTGTGGATAGTGCGGAAGGATGTTGCAGGTTACAGAGGGACATAGATAAGCTGCAGAGCTGGGCTGAGAGGTGGCAAATGGAGTTTAATGCAGAAAAGTGTGAGGTGATTCACTTTGGAAGGAATAACAGGAATACAGAGTACTGGGCTAATGGTAAGATTCTTGGTAGTGTGGATGAGCAGAAAGATCTCGGTGTCCATGTGCATAGATCACTGAAAGTTGCCACCCAGGTTGATAGCGTTGTTAAGAAGGCGTGCAGTATGTTAGGTTTTATCGGTAGAGGGATTGAGTTTCGGAGCCATGAGGTCATGTTGCAGCTGTACAAAACTCTGGTGCGGCCGCACTTGGAGTATTGCGTACAGTTCTGGTCGCCGCATTATAGGAAGGATGTGGAAGCATTGGAAAGGGTGCAGAGGAGATTTACCAGGATGTTGCCTGGTATGGAGGGAAGGTCTTATGAGGAAAGGCTGAGGGTCTTGAGGCTGTTTTCGTTAGAGAGAAGAAGGTTAAGAGGTGACTTGATAGAGACATACAAGATGATCAGAGGATTAGATAGGGTGGACAGTGGGAGCCTTTTTCCTCGGATGGTGATGGCTAGCACGAGGGGACATAGCTTTAAATTGAGGGGTGATAGATATAGGACAGATGTCAGAGGTAGGTTCTTTACTCAGAGAGTAGTAAGGGCGTGGAATGCCCTGCCTGCAAAACTAGTAGACTCGCCCACTTTAAGGGCATTTAAATGGTCATTGGATAAACATATGGATGATAATGGAATAGTTTAGGTTAGATGG